ATAGTTGCAATAAAAATTTATCGATCCGAACATTGGTGAAATTCCAGTTACATGAATTGACAAAATTGTGAGATCAACAGATGGAGATGAATGATATAAATATAATGATAATGGTGGATATACAGTTCATCCAGTACCTGTAATACTTTTCTTAATTAGTCCCTCGATTACTTACTTGACTTTGAAATTTTCGCTTAGTTTAAACCCTTAGTTTAAACTAATTTACGACGAATTAATTTAATTTAAATTAATTTATCGCTATTAATTTCTCTCTTTTCGTTTCCCGTAATGACGGTACAAGAAGCAGTTAGATAATCAGCTTTTATCATCAGTATTGATCGGCTAGCGTTACTCACGTAACATGTAACGTTACTCACGCAACATGTAACTGCTCGAGAAAATTCGACTGAATTAATTGAGAAATGAGCAAGTCGGTGAAGCTAGAAAACAAAGCAGACACGGATTTAGTTCTATTGTTCTGTTGTCGTGAAGTAATACAATAGCCAGAATAAATTTTCAAAACACGTTATCGACGCAAGTATCGAATAAAAGATATACCTATTTATTTATTATCTTATTTAAAGATATACCTATGTATATAAGATATACCTATATTTTATCAAATGACAACCGATAATGCTGATACATATATATTCAAGAGTAGGGATACAAGCTCCTTTATATATAGACTAGCACATATATTTCCCCTCATCGTCGAGTTCTTTTCTTTTTGCCTGTTGTCGGATTAGCCTGCCGATTATATTTATAATCGTGAGTAACAATTAAAGGTGTCAACGTTGCGAGAGAGTGTGTAACTGTGAAGGAAACATGAATCGACGTAATTTCGAATTGTTATTTCTATATTTCACGTTGATCGTTATCGGTGAGTTCGTGCAACGAAGGTCGTCGTAGTTTTGCAATTTCCATTCCAAAATGGAAATGTAATTTTTATATGGCGAATGTGAACATCTATAAATCTAGATGCAAAAAATGAATATGGTTTATCGCGTTATCAAACATTTCAGCGTTATCACGTACAATCAATTCAGAGTCAGCGACAGGATCGGAACATCGAATCACAAATTTCTCGTACGTTCTCCAAAGTGTGACACTTTCAAGGCCGTGCATTTTGGCAAATATGACAATTACGATCAAGGTTCCATATAAAACGCAGGAGAATAAGGTATGATCAGAATAAAAAAATATTGTACTTGTACCGCGTGTTATTCCAAATAATAGTTGATCAACATGATACTTGCAGATCGATTATATATCTTTGAAAGTTCCACAAAATGCAACAATAGAGGGCCATTGTTCAATTGTAATATCAGATATGAAACTAACTTGGAAGGATGGAAAAGCCAAGCCAAATGATAAAGAGAACTCAATTAAATTTACATTCATCAACGATCACACAAATTTCTCGCTTTTCTCCATTGACCTTAATATTTACCGAGATGAGGGAAATTTCAAGAATGCCACGGGTAAAGTATAATTCAGAGTTTTGTATATTTTTTTTTTTTTTTTTTTTTATAATCTCATATTTCGCAATTTTCTACAAATATGTACTTTAGACGTAAAGCAATGGTTTAATGCGACGTCAGATAAAGATCTTTACTTATTCGTCGCGTCCGTTAAAAACGAGATCCATAGGTGCAATAACGAAACGATACAGAAGGTCGGAGAGGGGGAAATACATATGAACAGTGTTTCATTGATCGCATTCAATAGAGACTATGATCTTTCGTCGCGTCAAGGTAAATTATAATTAAACAATGTCATATTTATTTAACAAATAATTAAATAATGATAGAATAATTCTATCGTGTAACAAGTTTGGAAAGATAATATAATAATAATAATAATAATAATAATAGATTCTATATGAAAGTAACGTGATGCCTTTTTAATCAACGTATTTATTCCGCATGCTCTGATAATTTTGAACTTAAAAAAAAAAAAAAA